AGACCTGCCTAGGAGCCTGGAAGAACGACTGAAGCTCCGGCTCGTCCGGCGGGGCCACGGGCTCCCCGACCACCGGCGGGGGCGGGGGCGTGCCCGCCGGCGGCCGCGCCACCGCCGAGCCTGGGGAGATCCAGAGAGGTGTACAGTCGGGGCCTTGACCTAAGGAGCCCTAAATAAGGAACGAGGCCCCTATTCTTCCGCGGCCTGGCTCAGCCGATTTTGCAGTTCTAGCAAGTCGTTTGGGCTGCTATTTGCGCAGAGCGAAGCTTGGCATTACAGAAGTTACCTCACACATTATTGGTTCATTCCGTCGAAAAAATTCTCCTGAGCAAAGCCAGGGACCGAATTCACGTTCGCAGTCCAAACATACCCCGTAGAGCTCTTGGGCATCGATGAGCTAGAGGAATTCCGGCGCGGGGTGGAACTAGTTGACCGACCCGAGGACAATGTGATAACCTTGGTTCGGTGTTGCTTTGATTATTCATTTTCGGAATTTGTATTTTCTCACGTGTTCTGGGTTATGCCGTGTCTGCCAGTTAAATTCTGAGGTCCGTAGCTGCAATATTACTACTAAAAGATTTCTTTGATACTTACACGGATGCCCCCCTCCACAGCCCTGGGGCCCCGTGGAACCCTCGACCGAGCGGCCCTCACCTGGCCCTGGGACACCGCCAGCAAACAACGCGCGCTGGGGATGGGCCCGGGAACTGCCCCTAGTAGGCCGGCACATCCCAGAAGCAAAATGAAAAATAAGGAAAGAGCCCCAGCACCCTCCCGAGCTAACGCCCCTCTGGTGGGCGTGGTAAACCGCACCCCCCCTTCGTCGGGGTTCGCCCTCCTCCCTCCCGGGCCCCGCTCGGCGCCACCGTCAACTGGTACCCCTGGGCCGACATCGCCTCCGTCAATCCCCTTTGGGGCTCCAGCGCCTCCTACAGGTGCGCGTGGAAGGCGAAGACCCCCGCCTCCCGAAGCGCTTCGGTCGGGCCCCGCATGGCGCATGGCTGCCCCCCCTCCTACGCGCGGGGAGTAACTCCCGATTTGAGCGGGGTTGACCCCAATTGCCTGCGCCGCCTTGCCGAGGAGGTGCACGATGGCTTTCCCCCGATGGGCCCCCCCCTCCATCCCTGAACAAGGAGAGGCCCCCACCTTCGAGGCCCACCTCAGCGGGGCAGGCTTTTCGAGCTCCGCCAACGCCCTCACCCGGCAAGGATCGCTCCCGGTGCAGTAGTGGTTTCTGCAGCAGCCGCAATTACATTAGTCGGACTTGCCCCTCTCGATGTAGATGGCGACCTCGTCTGCCGCTCCGAAAGAAGCAGGCGTGGCAGATTCTCGACACCATAGGGCGTGTGCAGGTGGTGGTCTTTGAGGGCGGCAGCTATACGTGACGGTCGTCCAGGAAATAGCAGGCGTGGCATATTCTTGACGCCATAGAGGGTGCGCAGGGGGTGGTCGCTCGAGACGGCCGCTATCCGTGACGGTCGTCCAGCGCATAGAAGGCGTGGCAGATTCTCGACGCCAGAAGGGGGTGCGCAGGGGGTGGTCTTTGAGGGCGACCGCTATTCGTGACGGTCATTCAGGGCACAGCAGGCATGGTACATACTCGACCCTTAGTGGGTGCGCAGGGGGTAGTCACCTCGGCCGCTATCCGTGACGGTCGTCCAGGGCATAGCAGGCGTGGCAGATTTTCGAAACCATGGGGGGTGCGCAAAGGGGGTCTCTGAGGGCGGCCGCTATCCGCGACGGTCGTCCAGGGCATGGAAGGCGTGGCATATTCTCGGCACCATAGTTGTTGCGCAGGTGTGGTTTCTGAACGCGGCCGCTATTCGTGACGGCCGTCCAGGGCATAGCAGGCGTGGCAGATTCTCGACACCATAGGGGGTGCGCAGGGGTGGTCTCTCAAGGCGGCCGCTATCCGTGACGGTCGTCCACGGCATAGCAGGCGTTGCATATTCTCGACACCATCTGGGGTGCGCAGGGGGTGGTCTCTCAGGGCGGCCGCTACCCGTGACGGTCGTCCACGGCATAGCAGGCCTGGCAGATTCTCGACACCATAGGGCGTGTGCAGGGGGTTGTCTTTGAGGGCGGCCGCTATCCGTGACGGTCGTCCAGAGCATAGCAGGCGTGGCATAATCTCGACAACATAGTAGTGGGTGCGCAGGGGGTGGTCGCTCAAGGCGGTCTCTATTCGTGACGGTCGTCCAGGGAATAGCAGGCGTGGCATGATCTCGACACCATGCAGGCTGCGCAGGGGTGGTCTTTGGCGGCTCCCGCTATCCGTGACGGTCGTCCAGGGCAAAGCAGGCGTGGCATAGTTTGGGTTGCCCATGGGGTGGTCTCTCAGGGTGACCGCTATCCGTGACGGTGGTGCTCAGGGCACATCGCTACGCAAGCCCGCTATCCATGCCGGTCGTGCTTAGGGCATAGGGAACGCAGGCGATTGCCCTTTCTGGGCCCCCTCTTGGTACATTCCATTCTGCAACGCCCAGGCCCCAATTTTCCCAGCCAGCTGGTGGGTTCAAAGTGGCGGTTAACCAGTAACGCCCAGGCTTTTGCCCTGTCTCGGCCACTTCAGGCTACTCTGGCTCCCAAGGCTTGACCGGCGCCACCAGCGGTATCGGCGAAGCAACGCCCACGAGCAGCATTCTCGTAAGTTTCACGTCTGATATCACCACACCGGACATGATAGGTGTATGTGGGATCCCCCGGTAGCGTAATGATACTTTCGGCCCCTGGGGGCTCTCGCCCGGCCCCCGGGACCATCAAATGACGATTCGGGATGGAAAAAGCGGCCTTGGGGAAGGGATCGGGACTTCCAGGGACCGCGCAATGACAACAAGCAGGACGTCGCATGTCTGTGTACCGAGGTCGCTGCTCGTCATGGAGAGCCCTCGTGGCCATGGCTGGGTTCGCCTCGCAATGGTTGCCAGGGCGCACCCCGGGAGAGGTCCGTGGATCTGCGGTATCGCCAGCACCGACCACACGTATGACTGACCCTTCGCCGGAGTGACCTTTGGTGCGCGGCTCTCGGGCACGCGGGCTGCTGCTACCGTCGCGCCGCACGCAGCAGTCGGCAAGCCGCGCACCAAGGGTCGGTTCTTTGTGCTCCCTGTTGAACAGTGTGCTTCCCAGCTCCGTAGCTTGCCTGCAGCTCGAATTAAGTAGGGGAAACCAAAATTGCCTCACAAAAAATAATAATGCACATAGTTTTTGGGTTCCAGCTCTGGTAGCAGGGTCTCTCTTGCGTGAAGCCGGCTGCGTTGTGCTCCCACAAAGGAAGCGGCGCAGTGCGCGGCGCTGGCGGGCGAGCTGCCGGGGGGCAAGCACGTGTCCGCTCAGGCGCAGGGCTGCGCCGCCGCTGGCGGCGCGTGAGGGTCGGGCCTGGCCTACTCGGCAAGGCGGAGGCATGATGCTCCATGGGCTTTGCTGCCCTGATACGCAACACGCAACACGTAGCGTGTTGACACGGAGTTCAAAACGCAGAGTGGAAACGCAGGTCTGGCGCGATACATTCGCCAACATGTGGATCAACACTTGCCGAGCCAACACGCAGCATGTTCACACGGACGGTTCGAACACGATACGTGTTGCGACAGGGCAGCCAAGTTCACGGCATGATTTTGCAATTCGAGCCTTTGTCGATGCCAGGCGAATCCCAATTCATTGCATGGCTAGTTTTTTTTGTTTGCTCTGCGACGGGGCGGCACAGGCTTTGACTCCCGCGTGGCCAGCTCCTGTTCCCACATCTCCACCACGTCCAGACGAAGATGCTTGAATTGCTGTTCGTGTGGCTGGCGTTCTGACCAGTCTTCATCTCTTTGCGAACGCAGTGAACGCACATGGGCACACATGCTGACCGAATTTTTGCTGGAGGTAAGAACATGCTACGGAGCACAAGATTGCATATCTAGACATAGTTATGGTGGATGACCCGTTCCAGGCACCCTCACCCTAGACATGTTGACATATCTTCGGGGCACCACATCCTTCACTTCGCCAGCCTCAGCCGACGGAACCGCACCAAATTTATTTGCGCCGGCCTTCCACCACCTTCCGCTGAGGCAGAGATGGCAACTTTCCGAATCCAGGAAGGCGAGTCCCTCTCTCGAACGCCCAAAATTTGCAGCCACATGCCCACGGATGTTAGCAACGGGTCGTGCGATGCATCGGCGGCTTCGTCACTGTCTCCATTCAGGCAGACGTGGCCGGCACGGCAGCGCGTGGGAGCGTTCGTTGTTTGCGCAGTTGCGGCAGGCGCCCGCGGGTGCTCCGGCCCATCAGACAAGCACGCCTTCCACATGAGAGCTCAGCTCCAGCCCATCCGCAGGCATGCTGGCCCGCTTGTTCCAACCTCGCGCTGGCTGCGCGTTGGTCCCTCTCGCTGCGTGTGCGTAGCTGTTGCGCCAGCTCGTTTCCTCCGGGCCCCTTCTACCAGTGGCCCTGGAGTCCTCTGTTTGTTTGTCAGGTTATGGGTACTTCTGTATATCCCTTGGCAAGTTGATTGTCTCCTCTTTCTCTCTCTCTCTCTTGATCCCTTTCTGGCTGTCTCTCTCTCTCGCTCTCTCTCTTTCTCTCTCTCTCTCTCTCTCTCTTCCTCTCTCTTTGGATACTACGCACTTGCGTGTGCCATACAGCCGCCAATCCGCCTCAACCTTGTGGCCAGAGGTGCTGCCTCACCTCCAGCTGGCCCGGCAGAAGTCCACGCAGATCTTCATGACACCGTGGCTCCAGGGGGCACCAAGAGGCACCTTTGTCTCCACGACCGCGCCCCCGGCTTCCTGATCCGATGCTCCCTCGCCGCCAGAGATGGGCCGCAGGCGTCCCCACCCCTCCCCTCCCCGCGTCTGGTTTTCTCCTTGCTCTGCGCGCCCCTCCCACGTCGAGCCCTGTCGCGAGAGCCTATTCCTGCATGCGTGCACGGTGCATGGCCCTTTCGGGAGCCGCCGCCCCGGCGGGCGCCGCGCGTGTTTCCCGCCGTTGCGAGGCCGCCGCCGCTGGGTCATGGCTTCGCCGATGACGATGATGAGTGATGGCGATGACGATGGCGATGACGACGGTCATCGTCATCGTCATCATCATCATCATCATCATCATCATCATCATCATCATCATCATCATCATCATCATCTTCATCTTCATCTTCATCTTCATCTTCATTTTCATCTTCATCTTCATCTTCATCTTCATTTTCATCTTCATCTTCACCTTCATCTTCATCTTCATCTTCATCATCATCATCATCATCATCATCATCATCATCATCATCGCCATCGTCGTCATCGTCATCGGTATCGTCATCGCGTCATCCCGATGACGCTGCATCTTCGGGGGCCTCTCCTGTCCTCTTAGCGGCAGTCATGAGATTGCACGCTGACGTGAGTTCGACGTTGACCCGATGTGAATGCGACACGGACTCGACACGGATTCGACTCGGGCTCGACGCGTTCGACATGGATGTGACACGGATGGTTCGCGCGATGGGACAGGCGAGGTCTTTCAAGCATGCAATTCAATTTTGATGCATCCTCCAGCATCTATACACCCCATGCTGGAGAGCGCGGCCCAGCTAGAGAAAGTGCATGGCAGAGGGTGTCTGGGCCTCTCTCTCTCTCTCTCTTTCTCTCTCCCATCTCTCTCCCTCTCCCTTCGGCGGTGCGCGCGGCCCAGCTCGAGAAAGTTCATGCCAGAGGATGATGACCGGGCCCCCCTCTCCCTCTCCCTCTCTCTCTCTCTCTCCCTCGCTCTTCGGCGGTGCGCTCGGAAGGGGGGGGGGGGGCAGGCAGAGGGGCGGCCTTCTCAAAAGGCGGCGGCGGATTTCTCGGATGCCTTGCAGCCTTTGCTCTGAGAAGGCCAGCCCCCTCGTGCCCTCCCTCCCGAGCTACACGGCTCGATGCTCCCCGTCGTTTTTCTCCTCCGCCACGTGGTCCGGAGCTCCCCGTCCTTCTTCTCCTCCCTTTTTCACGTCATCTGGGTCCGCCAAGCGAGATTCTACCACGCGCTCGCTTAATCGCATCCGAGCGCACGAACACTGACCACGTAGTAGCTCGCACTGTCGGAGCTGTGTCGTGGAATCGTGGCGAGAAAGGGGGGAGACACGTGGGTGGAGAATGCGTGGGGAAGCGAGGGTGAACGTCGAGAGGGAGGAGTGGCAAGCGCGCAGGTGAGAGGAGCTGGATGTTGTGTCAACGGCTCGGCTCCCGCACGTTCCTCTTGATAACCCCCTCCCGACAGCACCCGGACATATTTCTCTTGCTTGCGCGTAGGCCGCCCAGGGCCGATGAGCACACTGAATGCAGCGTATAGTTCAGGCTCCGTTGTGGACGTTTTTTTTTTGCCATACCATTTGGTTAGCAATGTTATTCTTGTCTGGTGTACTGTTTGTTCCAACCACACGTGCGCTTCAAGGGGACACATCGTATCAGCATGTCCTGCCCTTCTGCGTCCCACACGTTGCCTTCCAAGTAGAGCGCGTTCCCCCTCACCCTTGCCTTACGCCTCCGACCCCAACCCACGGCTCCGCCGCCGCTTCCTCGCTGGTGTCCCCCTCGTCAGCGTCTTCGTCATTGTCCTTCCTCCTCCTTCTCCCCCTCATCGGCCACTGCTGCTCCCGCCCTCCTGATTCGGTGTACCTGATGGGCCTTCGTGCGCCACTTGGGCAAGCCAGTGCATCAGAAGATGTGCTTCTAGATGCTGGGTGAGGCGCTGGCAGATCAGGGCCATACAGGTCCGCTGCGGCGCAATCCCACAGGGATCGCGATCACACATACGTCAAGACATGCGTTGCTGGCACAGGCTGTTGCCGCGACTGAAGGGACCGTCCTTTTACAGCCGAGCGTCTACTAAAGAAAACTCCTCCCGAAAACCTGGCCAGCGTTTCTTTCATCCACTTGCCGGAACGCTGGCCCGGTTTCTTGAGCGCGTGTTCCCCTCCATTTTGAACAACAGAAGTTCGTTTGTTATCAGAGATTTCCAGGAAGCTGGCCCAGAATATCTAGACGAGAATTGTTTTGATCAGACTCCCGGCTGTAACCCACTGGCGATGACGGGAGTGACCGAGGGGGGAGGGGGCCCGTCACGTCACGATTCGCGCCGGCGCCGAAGGCTTGGGAATAACCGCAGTTAGCTTGGATAGCAGATGCGTGTAGGGGGGTGTACTACACCACAGCGTGCACCATGCTCTGGATCTGCAAGGGCCTTGCGATGGATAGCTAAGGGTACTGAAGCGCAACGCAAGAGGATTGCAGAACATTTAATATTGATTTGTATGTTGTTCTGTCTTGTTCCTCTTCCTCTTGCTTCTACTCGCTCCTCCTCCTACCCCCCGGCCTCGTCGTCGTCATCGTCTTGCTCCTCCTCTCGTCGTCCTCGTTCTCATCATTGTGTCGCATTGCTTTCACACAAGGACAGAAGAAGGAAGGAGGGAGTTGAGAGGAGGGAGTGGGGAGGAGGGAGTTGGGAGGAGGGAGGGGGCTATGGAGGTGGGACCAGGCCGAAACGACCTGTCTGACTCAACATATCATACATAACTGCGCACTCTGGGAGGTGCCTGGGCGCCCCTAGGCCCGAGGGGGGAAGCGGCATGGTCGTCGTCGTCGTCGGCGTCGGCGTCGTCGGCGTCGTCGGTGGCGTCGGCGTCGGCGTCGGCGTCGGTGTCGGCGTCGTCGTTGTCTCGTCGGCGTCGGTGTCGGCGTCGTTGTCGTCGTCGTCGTCGTTGTCGGCGGCACCGTCGGTATCGGCGTCCTCGTCGTCGTTCTCGTCGCCGTCCTCGTCGTCGTTATCGTCGTCGTCGTCGTCGTCGTCGGCGTCGTCGGCGTCGTCGGCGTAGTCGGCGTCGGCGTAGTCGACGTCGGCGTCGGCGTCGGCGTCGGGCGCGCGCCAGCGCCGTTGCTCCCGCGCGGCTGTCGCCGCCCACGCCGCGCCCCTCTCGACCCGATCCTCCCCGAGGCCCCCACTCGATCCTTGATCCTCGATCCTCTCCGACCCCCTCGACCCTCCTCGACCCTCGATCCTCCCTTAGGCCCCCACTCGATCCTTGGTCCTCGATCCCCTCTGCCCTCCTCGATCCTCCTCGACCCTTCTCGACCCTCCTCGACCCTCCTCGTCCCTCGATCCTCCCTGAGGCCTCCGCTCCATCCGTGATCCTCGATCCTCCTTCACCCCCACCCTCCTCGATCCCCGATCCTCCTCGATCCTCCCCGATCCTCCGGCTCCAACGCCGGATCCCATCTCTCCGACTCCCGTTCCGACCCCGGCTCACACCCTTCCGACCCCGCCTCCGACTCCGGCTCCCATTTTTCCGATTCCGGCTTCCATCCCACCTCATCTCTCCGACTCCGGCTCCACTCCTGGATCCCATTTCTCCGACTCCGGCTCTGACTCCAGCTCCCGCATTTGCGACTGCCATGTGACCATACGAGTGTGAAGCATCAGCGACGGCATCACTATCCACGACACGCACACACAAGGACTCCGTCAACAAGGATGCCTCTCCCTCCTCCCTCCCTCCCCTCTGACGCACCTAATTTTTTATGTGACTCGAACGCATGCTGTACCACACGCCACAGTATCTTGGCGCCACGGCGCCACCGCTCCGTTCCGAGAGGGGCCGCCCCCCAGCGCGCACGCGGCCGTCCGTCCGTCCGTCCGTCCGTCCTCGATCCACCTCGATATCTCCCCTGTCGCTCGGGGGACTGGGCGCTCTCGCTTGTGGCACTCTTTCTGGGGGCTTCTGCGGGTGGGGTTGTAAAGACGGCTGGGCGGGTTATGCGGGGAACGGGAGGGTGTCAGCGGCGAAGTTAGGGGGGGGGGGGGGGCAGGCTCAAGGTAGGTGGGCAGGTGTGCTCCCATTGAGCTGGCATGCGGAAGCTTCGAACGCAGCTTCCTTTTAGCCAGGGGCCGCGACCCCAGGAAGGGTTCGGAAGCGACTCTGTTGCGACGGCTCTAGACGTCTGACCGCCAGCGTTGGAGGGGAAACACGGGAGAGGCGGCATCGACCCAGGCTCAAGGAGGTGATGCTCGCCGAAGGGAGCCTGCCTGATTAGCAGCCCCCACCCAGGAGCGTGCGGATTCGCAATCGGGGGCCTACCTCCGATCTGGCGGCAATGCACCGCCGACTCCATGCAGATCTTTCCCCCCTCTGAGCCAGCCCCCCATTGTCAAGCTGTCTGCGGCAAGGCCCGCCACCGTGCCATCCCAGCACTCCGGGTGGCGACTGCCGGAGGGGGCACAGGATGTCGTCACGTGAAACACCTCGTGTCTCTGGGCTCCAGAGAGCCGTGATAAGGATGATGAGGATTATGAGGGTGGTGGGGATGATGACGGTGATGGTGCTCGATGATGTTGTTGATGATGTTGACGATGATGAACCATGGTGGTGACGCTGATGATGCTGATGGTGATGATGTCGAAGGTGATGAAGATACCGGTGGCGATGGCGGTGGTGATAATGATGGTGGTGTTGATGATGCTGTCGCTGATGATGATGAAGATGATGATGATGATGATGATGATGATGATGATGATGATGTTGACGATGCGGCTGCTGCTGATGATGATGATGATGTTGACGATGCGGCTGCTGCTGATGATGCTGATGATGATGGTGATGGTGACGGTGATGGTGATGGTGATGATGGTTATGTTCAAGAGGATGCTGATGATGATGCTGACCATGGTGATGATAATGATGATGATGCTGCTGCTGCTGTTGCTGCTGCTGCTGATGATGATGATGATGTAGGGATCGAGTACAATTCTGTTTAGTTTGGTTTGTGCCCTTGGTTTGTTTATCGGTTTGCTGTTCGTTGTGTTCCCGTTGTTTTGGTCGGTTTTGTTTTTTTCACCGCGGGCGAGTTTTTAACATTGTTTTGTTGATGCGCGTTTCGTTATTGTTGTTATGCGGTTCTAAGGTTGCCGTCTTTGTTTCGTGTTGTTTGCTCAGTTCATTCCGTGGTTCTTTTCGTTGTTCGTTTCGTTTCGAACCGCCGTCGTCTTTCGATGTTCC